CGAGTTCCACGAGCACCCATTTCTTCACTCTGCACCCTGCCTTGAGCGCCGCCGCCAGTCCGGTCCCGATGCCTCCGAACAATTCCACGATGGTTAGGGGCTTCTGTAGCCTCTCCAGATCCGTCATCCGTGGAGGCAGAGCGAGGGGCCTCTCTGCATTCTCTTCCTCTGCCCTTCGAGTCTCCTGCTCCAGCACGTACTGCCTCCAGGACCAGTCCTCTAGTTGCTCGTCCATCTCTGCCATGCGGGCTTGGAAGGCTCCTCGGGGCTCTCTTTTCACGAAGTGCACCGGTAGAGTACCCACCGGACCGTCATCTCGCCAGTACTGCGCACGGTATAACACTTTCTCCTGCCAGGTGCAGATGGTGGCGCCGATACGGTACAGCAGCTCCATGCCGATGAGCAGATCGTAATCTTCTGAGGGCGAGATCCCGCAGCGCATCCGGATTCGGCATTCGTCTTTCGATCCTGGCCGAAGGATCACTTCCACCGGCATGCGCGTGCACGGCATTCATTTCGGCTCTCCGCCTTCTGCCGTCATTACCAGTATGCCTCTCGTTATGAGCCTGTTCGGATGATCCAGCTCGAGCCTTTTGGCCAGGTCTTTCCCCATCAGGATATGGTATGCTCCGGTGTCCATGATGGCTTGCGCCACAGCTAGCCCGCCCACCGTGATGCCTCCCTTCTCTATGGTCAGTACCAACGGCTGACAAACCATCCTTTCCTTTGGGTGTCGTTCAGACGTCATCTCCTGCTCTGGTTCTGCCGCGTAACCCTGGAACCTTCTTATGACTCGGTCTGGCCGATCTGTGCGTCCCTGCCCATCGCTGCGGAGCCGGATCTCCTCCCTCTGTCGCGGTGCTTGCACCATCAGCACGAACTCGGCTTCGCTCCCTTCTCCCTCTTCTTCCTTCGCGAGCATAGCCGGCTCTCTCCGCGCACCGCCCTCCAGCTCTCGAATCCTTGCCTGTAGCTGCTGAAGCTGATTCTCCAGATCTTCCTTGCTCCGCGGTCCTGCCGAGCCGGGCCGGCGACTGTAGCAATCCTGTGTGCCATGCCCGCGTTTCCCGCAGTTCCCGCAGCTAGGGATTTCGGGGCAGTCTCGGCGGAGGTGTCCCTCCTCTTGGCAGTGATCGCACTTCGGTGGCCTGCTGCAGTCCCTCTGCAGATGCCCCTCCTGGCCACACCGGTGACACTTGCGCGTCTCGGTCTCGCGCCCCGTCCTCCTGCCGGGAATTTCCCCCGTTGAAACGGCCGACCACGCGGGCCTGCGCCGCTCCTCCGGTTGCATCCCTCCCCTCTCCATTTCATACAGCCGCAGACCCATCTCTTGCTTCTTGGCAAGCTCGTACGCGTGTTCCAGTGTGGCCGCCGGTCCCATCTCGAAGACTCTCCCTCGTACTTCACTTGCCACCCTTTCGTCCAAGCTGTTTAGGAATTTCGTCACGAGCCTCCATTCGTCGCGACACTCCATGTCTGAGGCTAGCTCCCGCAGTCGGCCATAGGTTGCCAGCAAGGACTCTCTAGGCTTCTTCCAAAATGATGCGAACTCTTTCATCCGCTCAGGTGTCTGCACTGGGAAGTGTCGGCGAAGCGTCGCAAAGAATTGCGTCACCACTTCCCACGTGACCCCAGCTGCCAGCACCGATTCGCTGAGCATGCGCTCCAATTCCATGCCGCACGCCGTCTCCGCTTCTCCCGTGACCGTGTTCGAAAGTCCTCCGAAAAAGTCTTCGGGCTCCAGCCCATCCTTCATCCAGCGGTATTGCGCGTTGCGGATCTGCATCATGTAGTTCTTAAGGCTGCTTCCCACGCCCGGAGTGCCTGCAAACCGTTCCGGCACCTCGATCTTTGGCAGCGCCGCATACCGCACAGGCGGGCGCGTGACCTCGGTGTTGTGATGTTCTGACAGGGAGAATCTCCTGGTCTGTCGGAGCAGCTTGCCTTCCGCACTCGTGCCTTGTGCGGCATCTCCGCTCCGCGGCGGCTCAACGGTCTCACCCACTTCTGCGAGGGGTCTAGCGGACGAGCTGTGAAAGGCGTCAAGCCCCCCGGTCGGCAGGTCACTCATGCTGTGCCTCCGATGCGGCGCCGTGTACGCTTCTCTCGTCGGCGCGCCTCCGGATCCTCCTGCTTGCGTGCCGACGGTCTCTCCCGCCGCGTCTCCTGCTCGCCATCCTGGAGTCGCCATCACCAGCGGATCCGGAGGCAATTCGTATCGTCTTCCAGAGCGTAGCTGCATTCACCGCTGCGTCCTATCTTGTGGTGAGATTTCCTTCGTCGTATGTCAAAAAACCTCACTAACCCATCTAGGCCGACTAGCTGGCTCCTGCTATTCTTGATTCTACCCGTGTTGGTTTAAAAGGATTACATTGAGAAAAAGCAGGAAACATGCGACGAAGCACCTAGCACTAGGGCTCAGTAGCTCTATGTACAAGATGAGATTGACTGCCCTAGCCTAGTGCTTCAGCGGAAAGGACAGACAGAGATCACGCGTGAGCGAGGCTCGGGCTTCTCGAGTCGTATGTACAAGCCGCTGGCGGTTTGGGGCTGCATGTGGTTTGGCACCAGAAACTGTGCCAGCTGCCCGGTTGTCTCGCATGTGCACTTGCAGCCCTCGCCACCTGTCGGCCGTGCTGCTTGTATCCTCGTTAGCAGCGCTCGCCCTGCCACAGCACAGAACAGCATTCATACAAAGAAAACACGCAAAACCCCCCCCAAAACCCTCTCCCGACATTCACTTGCTCAAGGCTCGTCCTCGCTATGGTACAAAATATGTACACCGCAGCCCGTTCGTCTGCTGCTCCTTGTTCCGCTTACACTTCCCCCAATGAAACTCATCTCACTGATTTGTCATGCACACGCCTTATGCCACAGCTGCTGTCTCGGCATAATGTTGCCCTCCATGGTCTTCATAATACCGCGACACTTTCCCTCCGTGAACCACCCCTGCTGCTTCCCGCGCTCCTGCCTGCGTTAGGGTTTGGGGGTGGCGGGCATGGGGGTGACCGGTGTGGGTAACCTGCAGCTCCTCCTCCTCCTCCGTCTCCCACTGCTGCAGCTGCCGCTGAGGGGGGTGGGTGTGTGGGAGCCGAGGGTTTAGGGTTTAAGCTGGGTGCCGTGGGAGTGGAGCTAGGGTTTCAGCAGGGGGTGTGTGAGAGGGGCGTGGGACGGTCGGGGGAGGTTGCGTGGAGGCTGCCGTCGTGTCGCCTGCCGCGCCAGTAGTCCGGAGCCGTCGTGCTCTCGGTAGCCTAGAGAGCCTGCTGTGCGTGTCGCCCGTGGGTCCGTTGCTCTTGCTGCTCCTCGTAGCCGCCGAGCCAGTTACTCCAGTAGTCCGGGGCGCTGTCCGGGTAGCCACTGTGTGTGCGCTCCTGTTGCCCGTGTGTCTGCAGCTTCAGCCGTCGTCTCCAATCTTCTCTCCCCTCACAGTCCCTCCTCCTCCTCACTTGCCCTCTGTGATTACCTCTAGCTTTGCTTGTAATTGGTGAACTTACTTTATGCCTGCTTGTTGTACTGATCATACCCCACTTTGACTATGGGGGTGTGTCAGAATGTTATAATTGTCTAGCCTGCAGTGGGGTACTCTATAGCGAGTACAACCCAATTAGGGTTTCCTATGTGTATCTGAACTGCTGCTAGTGCAAACCATCCTTTTCTCATTTCTATTCCTACCTGCTAATTCTGACATTGATGTGGTGAGAAACTGGTAAGTAGAAATTAGCTCTAATAATAACAGCCTCCAGACATAATAGCCTCTAGACATAACAGCCTCCAGACATAACGCCTCAAGACATAACAGCCTCCAGACATAACAGCCTCAAGACATAACAGCCTTAAGACATAACAGCCTCAAGACATAACAGCCTCCATACATAATAGCCTCCAGACAAGTAGGTGATGCTGGTGAAGGTTAACAACCGCAGATACCAAAGGTGACATAACAAGATGGGGAGTTGGTGATAAATGGAAAAAGAGATAACGTACGTCGTGAACCAGGGAGACAAATGGTGACATAACATACAAAAATTGAGATGGAGAAAGAGACAACGTACGTCATGCGCAGGCTCTCAGCGCCATTGCTGGCGTCCAGATTGCCCTCCTCCACGTAGATTGGCCGGCGAAGACCGCAGTGTTGTAGAGGATAAGCGGAATGGAATGGGAAAACAAAGTGCAAGGGGGAAGAGAAGGGAGGACGGAGCATCTTTTTGAAGGCTTCTTGAGCCAGATGCCTCATAGCATGGAAAGTGATCACACAAAGAGACTTTTTTTTTTTAGAACTCTCCAACACTAGCTAGACCCACCTTGTTTAAGTCTCTTGCGCTCAACCACCCAAGCCGGGCGGAATAACGGGCTGGGCGGAGCGGCAAGCAGAAGAAAATGGTTGGTTATTGAAAATTATTGAGAGCCAACCCGACCCACCTTGATTCTTAATTTCTGGTCCTTGAATTGCTTTGACTTGATTGACTGCCACAAGTCGTCCAATCTCTTGCATTTGCTACCCTCTCCAAGCAGAACAGCGGGCCTTCGGGCAAAGCCGAGGACGACGAAGCAGCAAGGAGAGCAGATGGGGGAATAGCAGAGGAAGAGGATGGCGGGACGGAGGAGGGAGGAATTACTAGGGGCAGAGTGCGTGGGCGGAAGGCAGGAATTACTAGGGGCAGAGTGCGTGGGCGGAGGGCAGGAATTACAAGGGCAGAGTGCGTGGGCAGAGCGCAGGAATTACTAGGGGCAGAGTGCATGGGCGAAGTGCAGGAATTACTAGGGGCAGAGTGCATGGGCGGAGGGCAGGAATTACTAGGGGTAGAGTGCGTGGGCGGAGCGCAGGAATTACTAGGGGCAGAGTGCGTGGGCGGAGTTTCACAAAGTATATTAGAGAGTGGAATGATGTGGAGCACCCCTTCAAGCATCCCCCCAAGGATTGCATCAAGTGGGTGCTGTCACCCGGTTATATAGGCAGGAGTGCAGCAGATATAAAGGGAGTCCAGCATTTACGTGGACTGTTATGAACCAACACTAGCAAAGCGGCAAAGCCTACTAGCAGAGCGCAGTGGCGAGGCACAGAGGCAAGGCAAGGCAGCGAGGCAAGGCAGCGAGGCAAGGCAGCGAGGCAAGGCAGCAAGGCAAGGCAGCAACGCAAGGCAGCGCAGCAAGGCAGCGAGGCAAGGCAGCAAGGCAAGGCAACGAGGCAAGGCAGTGAGGCAAGGCAGCGAGGCAAGGCAGCGAGGCAAGGCAGCAAGGCATGGCAGCAAGGCAAGGCAGCGAGGCAAGGCAGCGAGACAAGGTACCTGTGCTGGAAGCTTTTCCACTCTGGTGAGAAACTCCGTGAGCTGTGCTGCCCAGTGAGGCAGATAAAGGGTGAGAGAAATTTTGTGAGCTGTGCTGCCCTGTGAGAAAGATAAAGGGTGAGAGAAATGCTGTGAGTTGTGCTGCCCTGTGAGGCAGATAACGGGTGAGAGAAATGCTGTGATTTGTGCTGCCCTGTGAGGCAGATAAAGGGTGAGAGAAATGCTGTGAGCTGTGCTGCCCTGTGAGGCAGATAAAGGGTGAGAGAAATGCTGTGAGTTGTGCTGCCCTGTGAAGCAGATAAAGGGTGAGAGAAATGCTGTGAGCTGTGCTGCCCTCTGGAGGGGACCGATGGAAAGTGACAGGAGAGAAAAATGCTGTGAGCTGGACTGCCCGGTGGGCCAGATGAGCATGCAGAGAGGGAGAGAGGAGAGAAGAAAGGAGGGAAGATGGGAGTGGAAGAGGGGAGAGAAGATGACACGGAGGTGAGGAGAGGGAAGGCTGATAAGATTACAGTGATGAAGGACCGATGGCAAAAAGGAGGAATGAGAGAAAATCAAATACGGCTGTACTCTGGTCTAGTCCATCGATTCTCACCAACTCTCACCCCTTTCCCACCCCTCCTCAGCCCTCCTCCACGTTGTAAATCAGACACACCACTCAGCACGTGCCACAATACTGCTGTCTATCCCCATCCTGCCGCCACCCCTCCTCACCCCTTCTCCCGGCTGTCGACCAGCAGCACCACCCGGTATGTATCATAGAAGCGCTGCCCCTCCGCTAGCGGGGGCAGCCGAATGTCAGCCGTCTCTTCGAGTGACAGGCAGGTGGATGGCGACGATGGGAGGTGGGTGGGGAGTGATGGGCGATGGGTAGACAAAGAAGGAGAGAGGAGTGGCACTATAGGAATCGCAGCAGACATCTGGTCGGCCTGAGAGTTGTTGCCAAGCGGGGAAGGGGTGGTGCACGGGTGTAGGGGCAAGCAGTGTGGGAGCAGGGAGGGAACGGCAAAGAAGGAGAGAACTCTGCGACGGAAAACAGGGAGGAAGCCAGTGCATACAAACTCCACACCACTTACTGCATGGATGCATGCACGTACCATTCATTGCACATAGCGATGCCAGAAATGCTGAGGCTTCACTTCCCAGCACTGCCTCGCCCTCTCTTGCTGCTCCTCCTCCTCCACTTCTGCTACGGAGTGGTGCATGTGATTCTCCTACCGCTGCTGCTGCTGCTATTGGTGCTTGTGCTCTTCTTTTTCTTGCTGCTGCCTCACTCACTTCAGCTTCTGCCACTTCCACTGCGGCTTGGGCTGCTACAGTCGCGCCACCATCGGCAGCACTGCTTGCTTGCCGCCTTAGACCCCTCCCGCCTCTCCCATCCCTTGTGAATCCAGCCTCCTGCCTCCTAATACTGGGTCTATCTCCTTGCTCCTCTGCTGCCTGCGTGCAATGCACTAACATATAAGTCACAGGGTTAAGAGGAATGGAGACGAGAGTGGGGGGCAAGAGCAAGGAGTCGAGGTCTGCCACTTTTTGTTCCAACACGGCTCGACTGTTGGCCAAGCCGGCTCGACTTCATTAACACAACAACTTGGCAACGCCTTCCCCCACCTCAAGTTCCTGAGACACCTCAGAACACTGACTTGTTAATTGACCTGCATCGCCGAGCCAACTGACTAGATGGCATCGGACTTGAGACGATGCCTGTATTGACTCGTGCCAATGCAAGTAGTCGCGTTACAATGCGTTTCAAGCCACGGATTTTGTGTGAAGTGGTTCGGGACAGGTCAAGTTTGTTTGACAAAATGCAATGGTTCTCAAGAATAAGCTCGGCATTTTCAATTCCGGATCCCACGAGTTCCGTATTCCAAGACCAATTCCTTGAAGAACTTCCAATTCTTTCTTGCAATAAATTTCTCCATGAATCACCTTGTAACAGAGGCAGGCAGTTTGGTTGCTTTTCAGATGTTGCTTCTCAAATGTTGTTTTTCAAATGTTGCTTCTCATATTTTGCTTCTCATATGTTGCTTCTCAGATGTAAGAGCAACTTCTGTGCTAGTTTGCTAGCGCAAGCTGAGTGAAGTTGACTTCGATTTATTGCACCAACAAATGGAACAAGGCAGGAAGGAGGAAGAGGGGGGCATGCAGAGCAGCAAAGGCGGGCTAGGGAATGAAAGAAATCAGGCAAGTGAGGAAGGAGCCATGAGGAAGGGGGATGCTGGAGGGAGGGGAGGGAGGGAGGAAATTAATGCATTTCAAGAAAAAGGGAAAATCTGGAAAATGACCGAGGTTCACCTGATGAGCGGGTGGGTTCAATGAAGGGATGTCTGCTGGTGGAGGGACGGATGGCAGAGCAGTGGGAGAGGGTGGCAGAGTGGTAGAGGATGAAACATTGCTGGCAGGGAGGTAGCAGCCTTAGTAGGCTTGAGAAGCGAGTATGGAGTGCTCTCTAGGGTTCTCTGGAATTTGCACTATGACTTCACAAATTCGACAGTACAATTTTTTAAAGCACATTCATACATCGGGTTGCACTCCCAAGTCGCAACACTCTAAATTTCTCACTGGTAGCCCAACCCTTTGAAATGAACCTGCCATGAAATTCAGAGAATTATTGCGGTACGGATTGGACGGCGAGCTTGGTTACGGGGCTGTAATTTCATCGGTGTTGTTGGCGAAGTCGATGAGCGGTCGGAACTTTGGTGTTCTGCGTTTCGTAATTTTTGTGGGTGGGTTTGACTTGGGCTACTTGTTGGAACTTTGTCGCCCAACTGCAGGTTGAGGCGCTTGACCAATGTGGACCATAGGTGAGGTGGCGCTTGACTTCCGCCTACCTGCATTGCAATTGGCAGCACTCGGCTGCTGCACTGTTACATTACTTTCCCCTCCAGGTGGCGTCGTCCACGGCGCCAAACCGTGGCTGGTCAAGTATCGATTCACAGCAATTGCAGCACGGTCAAGGTGGCTCTCAGGTTCCCACGAGTCTTCACTAGCCGGGTGATCTTTCCAACGAACGAGAAAGTTACGACCATGTGTGTCGCGGTGAGCAGTGATAGATGCAACCTCAAACAGGCCGGGGCGCCTTCGAACATCGGTGGAAGTTGGCGTGTGGCTGGACGGTCGTGTAAAGGTGCATGGAAAGGGCGGAGGCGCTGGACATGGAAGACGGGGTGAATCTTCATATAGCTGGGTAGTTGGAGGCGGTAGGTGACTGGTGCGAGGGCTCGGGTGATGGTGAATGGGCCAATGAAGCGAGGGGCGAGTTTTCTGGTTATACCTTTGTGTAGGAGAGGGAGATGGTTAGTGGAGAGAAGCACTTGGTCGCCAACCTTGAAACGGATATCCTTGCGATAAGAGTTGGCATAGTGGGTTTGTTTGGCTTGTGTGTTAAGGATGGAGGTGCGAGCGGCGTCAATGGCTGATTCGAGTGAGGTGAGGAACTCAAAGGCTGCTGGTGCGTGGGAGAGGTGGGAGGGTGGGGTAGTTGGGAGGCGTGGGTGCTGTCCGGTTGCGAGGTAGAAGGGTGGCTGACCGGTGGAAAGGTGGGGTGTGCTGTAGTATACGAGTTCGATGGCGGTGAGGTGGAGGTCCCAATCTGTTTGGCGAGCGGTAACTTGGGCACGGAGGGCGTCTTCAAGTGTGCAGTTCATCTGTTCAGTTTGTCTGTCCGTTTCAGGGTGATATGCGGTAGAAAACTTCAGCCGGGTTCTGTGAAGTTTGAAGATGCTCTGCCAAAAGTTGCTCAAGAAGCAAGGGTCGCGGTCTGAAATTATGGTGGATGGGAGACCATGTAGGCAGACTATGTGATCGAAGAAAAGGCGGGATGCTTCGGGTGCGGTGACGGTTGTGTGGGTGGGAGTGAAGTGGCTCATTTTGGAGAGTCGGTCGACGACGACTAGGATGGCGTTGTAGCTGCGAGGTGTGCAGGGCAGATCCATGATGAAGTCCATGGTGACTTCATCCCACACTTTGGTATGTGGAGGGATGGGCTGCAAGAGTTCGTAGCGGTTGGTGGTGCATACTTTGAGTTGTTGGCAGGTTCGGCAGATGCGTATGAAGTCAAGAACATCAGCATGCATGCGTGGCCAATGGTAGACGTTGGAGGTGCGTGCATAGGTCTTCTCAGCACCAAAGTGGCTGCCGGTAAGGGTGTCGTGGTATTCGGAGAGTAGCAGCTGACGTAACGAGCGATCCGCAGGGGCACAAATGGTCTTGGTGATGGTGTTGTACCAAAATGGGTCTTCAAATGAGTATACCGGGTTGTCGGGTGCTTGCTTAACGAAAAACATGTCACGTTTGTAGGCGTACTGAAACTTTGTGATGAAGGCATCATCCCAGGTGATGCTGCTGGTTCCATGCAATGGTGGGGTCGGAGTTTGAGGTGGAGGTGATGAGGTGGGGCTGGTTGGTGAGTGTTGGGGCTGGTCGGTGGATGGTGGGGCTGGTGGCGGAGGTCTGGACAAGACGTCGGCTGGATTGAGCTTTCCAAGGTGGTAGATAATTTGATGTGATGGGACAAACTGCTCCAAGAACTCAGCCCATCAAGCTTGGCGGCGGCTGAGCACGGGCTGTGTTTTCAAGTGTTAAAGAGGGCGATGGTCGGTGTAGACGGTGACGGACTGCAGCTCCACGTAACAGCGCCATATCTTGATTGCGTGGACACTGACAAGGAGCTCCCGATCGTGTGTTGCGTAGTTGCGCTCTACGGGTTGAAGCTTGCGTGACTCAAATGCAAGTGGCTGCATTCCATGGCCGTGGTCTTGGCAAAGAATAGCACCAATAGCGACATCGGAAGCATCGGTCAATATGAAGTGTGGGCGCGATGGGTCAACGACGGTGAGGACCATGTCAAAATATTATTCTTATGTTCTAGCCTGTAGTGGGGCGCTCTATAGCGAGTACAACCCTTCTAGGGTTTGCTGTTTGTATCCCCATTTCTGCTAGTTCATTCCTCTTTCTTCTTCTAACTTTTGTCAGACCAGTGCAGAGGTGAGTGCTGATTTGATTGCGGTGAAAGCGGTCTACTGCGGTAGTCCCCACTGAAAAATAGCTCCTTGATGGAAGAGATAGGTCAAAGGGGCGCAGATGTGAGAGAAGTTGAAGATGAATTTTCGGTAATACTTGGCGAGGCCGATGAAACTTTGCAGCTCCGCTACCGTGCGTGATGCTGGCCAATCAGCAAGGCACTGGACATTTGCGGGGTCCGTAGCAATGCTTTTGGAGCTGATGACATGGCCGAGAAAGCCGATGCTTGAACGGGCGAAGGTACGCTTGGAGGGCTTGGCGTAGAGTCGGTGTTGGCGAAGCGTGTCGAGGACGATGCGTAGGTGCTGAGCCTGTTCTTTGAGTGACTTGCTGAAAATAAGGATGCCATCGAGGAACACGATGACAAAGCAGTTGAGGAAGGGCCGAAAAATGTCTCAAAGTGGCCGTAGCGGATTCGAAACGTCGTCTTGCTGATTCATCTTTGGCGAGGCGAATCTGGTGGTAAGCGGATCGTAGGTCGAGCTTGCTGAAAACCGTCGCTTCTCCAAGCATGTCGAACAACTCCTTGACACGGGGCAGTGGGTACTTGTTCTTGATCGTGATGGCGTTGAGGGCGCGGTAGTCGATGCAAAGACGCAGGTCACCTTCCTTCTTGCGAGTGAAGAGTACGGGGGCAGCGTATGGTGAGGTGCTGGGGCGGATGAAACCCTTCTCAATAAGGTCATCGAGTTGGCGTCATAGCGCCAAAAAATCAGTGGTACTCATGCGGTAGGTTGGGCGCACGGGCGGTGTAGAACCTGGAATGAGGCGGATGATATGGTCAATAGTACGCTCGGGTGGAAGTTCGGCAGGTAGATCATCAGGAAACTCGTCCGTATAACCTGTGAGTAGATCCTGTAAAGGTGGTGGCAGAGAAGTAGCTGGTGCTTCAGACTCGGGAGCCGTGAAGATAACTAGGAGATGAGGAGGAGGAGATGGCGAAGGAGGGGTGGGGCTGATGGATTGATAACTTCAGAGAAGGGGCGGAAGAGGCAACAACGTGGCTGCTGGATTGGGTGGGGTGGGGAAGGAGGAGGTGTGTTGATAACTTCGGGGGAGCTGGGTGGTGTTGGCTGCTGCACGGGGGCAATGCGAGGAGGAGGGAGAGGGGGGATATGTGAGGCTGGAGATGGGGCAGGTTGGGGTGGATGTGTTGATGAAGCTGAAGTGGTTGGGGATGACCATGGGCAGCGGTAGGAGCGGGATGGGAGGTCGTAGTTGCCGACGGTGACAGTTGCGTTACGCCAAGCTGGTACAACCACGGTCGACCAAGAACGCCCTCGTAGCCGCAGAGGTGCAGTTGCTCGAACGTCACCGCCGCCTCTAGACTTCCAAACATGCAGTGCGGGGAGGAGGGTAGGTCCGCAGCGCCGCCGAGTACCATCTGCCATGATCACTTCCTACGGGGTGCTGTTGGGATCTTCGGGTGTTGTTCAGGATCCGTCACTTTGAGAGCTTATGACGAACTCACTACTCCACTAAACGCAAATCCGCTCCGTAGGAAGTTGCGTCTTAGACTTAGATACCATCTCCAAGTTGAATCAGTCGTTAAGATGGTTCAGAGAGTGAGAACTAAGTGAAAACATCCAGCAGCCGCATGACTAGAATGGTGGAGGAAGTACAAGCATTAAGGCATAGGAAGTTGGAGTTGGGGACTCTCCAAGAGAACCATGAGATGGAAGGGGTTCTCCAAGAGCTAGGGAAGGATGGTAGGAACCTTTTTAGCAGCAAGGATGCAACCCTCATCATGAGGTCCTTGAGGTGTCACATGCAAAATCCAATCTAGTTGGATTTTGCCTAGGTGTTGCAACATTTGCAACCCATGCTAGAAACTTCTAGCCATCCCAATCCAAAAGTCAAAGTTGCCTTCCCTAACCACCCAACCAAATATCCCCTTATAGTCATGTCCAAGTAATCACCCAAATTAGATATAACCCCAAAAGGTAATAAGAAATCCAAGTCTTGGAAATCTTGTAACTTGGGCGATCTTGGTCGGAATAAGACGATCTTGGTATCGTTGGAAAGCTCTGGATTTCTCCTGCATGATCAAGCCTTTAAACTTAAAGAAAAACACAGAGATGGTAATATCCAACAGCCATGCACAATGACATATGCTCATGCAAACAATGCACGCATGAATAGCACGAACACTTGGCAGGACGTTAGGATGACATGCACTCAGAATGACGTGCATCCAACATCGGGAAGAGAAAGTTCAGCAGCAATTGAGGGAGAGAGGAAATTTGCCGAAGTGTCGGTATCAAAGCAGAAAGTCAACGTAGCAATCCTTTATTTTTTGCCCATAGAAAGATGGCGGGGAAAGGAGTGTTTGATGTGGTATAGAGTTCAGACGTGCCGATGAACAATGGTGTCGGGAGAAGCGGGGCATGCGACGCGCCAGAGGTCTGCCCCACTGCTACTGGCGCTGTCCGTTTCCCCGTCCTTCGTTTGGGCTGCGACGATTTGGGTAGTTACGCTTGATGTGCCCAATCTTCCCGCATTGGTAGCACATGACGTTTGAGGTATTTCGCGGCTGCCTTTCCATCATTTCCAGCTCCATGGGTGTAGGACCATTTGCACGAGCAGCTAGAGCGTGATTCATGTGGCCCATTCTCATGCCATTGAAGCGTTGGAACGCAGCGAAGTTGATCGTATCGAAGCGTTCTGCCACACGGATCATGTCATCTATTGACGTGCATCCGCGAAGCTCCACCTCGGTACGTATCTTTGGTTTCAGTCCACGCTTGAACTTATCCATCTGCTCGGAGGCAGGGATATCGGGAATCTCCAGCACCAATCCCCGGAAGCGGTTGACGTATTCGGCTACGGAGTGGTGTTGGCGTAGTGCATCGAGGTTGTCATGAGCGCGTTCAATCGCATTGACAGGTTTGAAGTTCATGGTGAGTGATGCTGAAAATTCTTCCCATGTTGAAATTGTAGCGTGGCAGCTCTGCCACCAAGTAGCAGCAGCTCCTCGCAGCATCATGCCGGCGTGATGCGCCCATTCGGCTTGGTTCACGTGGCATAGGGAAATATACTCCTCCGTTTGGAAGAGCCACCTTCGCACAGGTAGGTCTCGTTTTCCAGGGACAAACGGCTCAGGTTCCGGTGCTTTCAGACGTGTACAGACCACAGCAGGTGCTGGCGCCGGCACCTGTGTGCCCAGGAGTCCAGGTTCCTAGAGTTCGCCGAGGATTCGGTCACGCACCTCGCGCTCAATTTATCGGCCCATATTGGCGACAAACTCGTTCCAGAGTTCCGGAGTCATATCAGACGGCCGAGCCATAGGGTCTAGAATATGGCGGGAGCGTGCAAAGTGACTAACCAGACTCTAATTACCAGTGAAACGTTGCTGGCATGGAGGTAGCAGCCTTAGTAGGCTTGAGAAGCGAGTATGGAGTGCTCTCTAGGGTTATCTAGAATTTGCACTATGACTTCACAAATTTGACAGTACAATTTTATAGAGCACATTCATACATCGCACTCCCAACTCGCGACACTCTGAATTTCTCAATGGTAACCCAACCCTTTGAACTGAACTTGCCGTGAAATTCAGAGAATTATTGCGGTACAGGATTGGACGGCGGGCTTGGTTACGAGGCTGTAATTTCATCGGTGTTGTTGGCGAAGTCGGCGAGTGGTCAGAAGTTTGGTGTTCTGCGTTTCGTAATTTTCGTGGGTGGGTTTGACTTGGGCTGCTTGTCAGAACTTTATCGCCCAACTGCAGGTTGAGGCGCTTGACCAATGTGGACCATAGGTGAGGTGGCGCTTGACTTCCGCCCACCTGCATTGCAATTAGCAGCACTCGGCTGCTGCACTGTTACAGAGAATGGTGGAGCATCTGACGGAGGCACAAGAGAGTCTATTGGCGAGAGAGGTGGTAGTTAGGCAGGGAAGGAAGGAAGGAAGGGTGGGAGAGGCAGGCAGGGAGGAAGGGACTGGTTGCTGGTGGGTCGTGGGATTGAGTGGCATGTGTGGCATGGTAAGGTGGTGAGGTGGAGAAATAAGAGGTAAAACGAGGGGATTTGAGGGCGAGTGAGGGGGCTGGACCTCACGAGTTGATGGTGTTAGGGTGGTTCGCCACTGCCCTAGTGACTACCGGCCTACGCGCTTGGATTAAAATCGGTAACGCAATGCTAGAAGTGGTGGGAAACCGTCGATGTAATGAAGGGAAACGATGACCTAAAGTGGGACGGCTAGAAAGGTGGGGTTGAAAGCTAAAGAACTGTGGAAGGAATGTGTGAGGAAAGTGGGAAAAACGGAATGGTAGAAGAGTGGGGTTCAAAAAATGTCGAATATGCAGTTTTCGCGAACCTAAATGCTCAACTGCGTACCGAACCGCATTCGGTGCAGATGCAAGAAAAGGGTTTCGGTGTCGGTCACCGAATTTCCGTTTCGGTGTTGACCACCGAATTCGGTACCGCGTGCAATTCGATGTGGAAAGCAAACATCGCATCACGCGAACAACATACCATATTCTGGGACGCATAAATTGTGTTGGTGGTAGAATCAATTTTCAACACTTGGTTGTTCAACACTTTGCTGTTCAAATACGTCGGCTATTTTGTACGTTTTTGTGATTGAGTGAACGGTGAACCAAGAAATCAGAAACCATACCAAGTATTCAGAAACCATACCAAGTATTCAGTTTTCACTTCAGGTCTACGGAAACTGAGAGCTGCGCAAGTTGGAATTGGGTGATCGTGGTGATCACGATAGGCATTAGCAAGCAGACTAGTGCCGATCATGGGTTGCTTGCACCCTATGCAACGCATCAAGCACGGGGCATGGGGTGCCGTATGGACACGGGGTGCCGTATGGACACGGGGTACCGTATAGGCATGAGGTACCATATGGGCAAGAGCATGGGCATGGGCATGGGCATGAACATAGGGAATGGGCATGGGCATGGGCATGAACATTGGGAATGGGCATGGGCATGGGCATGGGGTATGGAAATGGGTATGCGGTATGAGGCATGCGGTACGGGGCATGCATCATGGGGCAAAGCCATGGAGAGGCGTGTCTCTGCTGCCCTCTCTCCACTCGCCCTTCGCCCCACACACCCCTCTCCCCACACATCACTCGCCCCACTCACCTGCCTGCAGCCCTGCTCGTTCCATGCACATCTGTGCTGCTGCCATCCCTGCCGGTGTGAGGGAGTAGCTGAGAGATAAGCAGCACAGGGAGCGCAGAGGCAGGAGGCGCAGAGAGGGGTGAAGGGAAGGGATGTGTAGTGCGGGAAAGGTGGGTAGTGGGTGTTTTAGGAGGGCAGTGGGGTTTTAGGAGGGCAGTAGGCGGGGAATCAGGCGCAGGAACCAGCAGGGCAGCACGGGAAAGCATGGGGGGGGCCTACGGCTGCATCGGGGCAAGAGGGCAGGAAGAGATGAAGCACATGACCAAAGCAGCGCTCTTAAAGAGCAGGGTGGGGGCAGCAGCACTCTCACAGCAGCGCACACACCGGCGGCACTGCTAGTCCACCAGCGCATGCTGCCTGAGCATGGTTAAAGCACTCCAGCCGTATTAGAAGTTGAGTGACCCACTAGCGGACACATAGGGATGCACGTGACCAATGCAACGCTCTTACAGGGCAGGGCGGGCAGCACCCAACACACTCACAGGGAGGGGCGGCCTTTCCGCCAGTCCACGAGCGCATGTTGCCTGAGCGTGGTGAGAGCGTTCCAGCCGCAGTAGTAGTTGTGCCCCACGTGGGCGAAGGACTGGCACGGCAGCCTCCGCCGCGGAATAGTTGGGCTTTGGGGCACATGGGGAGGGAGGAGGGGCGAGGAGGAGAGGTGAGAGAGAGGGCGAGAGAGAGGGGTGAGCGAGAGGGGCAAGGGAGATGGGCGAGAGGGAGAGGCAAGAGAGGAGGGGCGATAGAGAAGAGAGAGAGCTGAGGAGAGGGAGACAGAGGCAGAAGAGGTGGGTGAGCCAAGAGATGTGAGAGACAGGTAGGAAAAGACAAGAGATGCAAATGGGGGCGATAGCAACGTGGTAGCGTTGAAGCTACCTTTCGCCGTGATACCATGATGACCCACGTGATGACCCATGCAAGACTATGATAACATGTAATGTCGCAAGCCTGAACTTTCTAAACCCCGTATCCTTTACTTCACATGCGAACTGGAGTACCCCTTTCACAGTGCTCCGTTTCTTGCCGAAAGTGAGGCCCAACGTGAGGCCCACCTCCGAATCCCCTAATTGGCCTGTTCTGCAGGCACCAAATTGCGATCAGGTTTTGGCCAAAAGTTGGAAGTTCGGGTTTGGCCAAGTACCGACCTCAGAGTCAGATATATAGAATTATCTACAAATTTGGCAACGGCCGTTAGACCCAGGTGACTCGCCGCCCGTGGGGCTCGAACCCACGACCACAAGGTTAAGAGCCTTGCGCTCTACCAACTGAGCTAGGGCGGCTGATGTTAGGGGAAGCTAGAAGTTCTACTTAGAAATTACTACATAACTAAGTTACACATCCCATAGTACAAGTCATGGTATTGCATGAATCCAAGTGCTTGTAACTGTTGGGCTGAGTGCCCTTTAGGATCTTTGGTAGAGTTAAAGTCTGAGTAAAGTGATGTAGTAGTGGAAGCGTGTTTAAGTAAGGTACTTGAACCACCTTGCGCTAGTATGTGAGGGCAAAGTTGATTAAAGCAAAGAGGTACAAGTATATATATATGAATACAGAGAATATGAAGAGACACTATAACTACTTTACTGTTGCGGTTCGAAACAGTGCGACTCGGGCAACTGCTCAATGTCGAGTCAGTTGTGTGTCCTTGCTGTCGCGCTGCATTTGTCAGGTCAAAGGTCGCTGACCTTTGACTTTCGCGTAACCTCCAGCGGTTATATCAACCTCTGAGGGTTGACTCGCTGGTGCCTCGATATGCGCTGCTTCGCTTGTGTCTTGGTGTTTCGACACGACAGAGGCGCTTAAGATTGTTTGTTCCCAACAGTAACTAGATGGGTGTACATAAGAGTTCATGAACCCGTTTACTGATTGCAGCACCGACAGCCTTTCCCTTCACATTCACACCACACAGCAGTCGCTCCTGTGCCTCCCGGTTTCCCTCCTGCCCATGCAGGTGAGGAAGAGAGATTAGGGAGAGGGCGAGAGGGTGAGAAACAGAGAGCGGAGAAGAGAGAGATGCAGGCAAGGGCAGGCGGGGGCAGGAGAGGTGCAGAGAGTTAGAAGGCGGTAGGCGAGGGGTGAGTGGGTAAGATGGTGAGTACAGGATGACATGAGGCGGGTGCCTCATGATACAGACACCTCAATTCTTCCGTTGGGTGGAAAGGAGATTGGAGATATGTGACTGTTAATAGGAACAAGGAGAATATAAGCAACCGTACAAAAGCTATCTTGGGGTTGATGTTAGTGTAGCTGGGTATGCTAAGTCAAGTAGGGAATTGCAATGCAGGCAAAAGAGGGGAACGGCGGACGCACGAGGAAGGTGTAGGCAGCGTGGAGGACCGGCAGGGAGGGGTAGCGGCGGAGGATGGCCGTAGCCATGTCCACTGTTAGGCCTCTCACCTGATGGGATGCAGAGGAAGGTAGCACGTGGAAAAGGGACGGGGTTGGAGTGGAGAGATGGGGATGAGTACGGTGGCGGAGGATGGCCGAGGCATACCCACTGTGAGGCCCCGCACCTGAGGGAACGCAGTGGAGGACAGCAAACGATAAGGGGACGGAGTGTAATTGGAAAGACAGGAATGAAGAGAAGCTGCGGAGGATGGCTAGCCATGTCCACTGAGAGGCCACGGACCTGACGGGATGAGGGGGAAGATGACACGTGACAAGAGGGACGGGGTGGGAGCGGAGAGACGGGAATGGAGTGTGGTGGTGCAGGAATGTTGTGGCCTCGTGTACACTGTGAGGCCAGCACACCTGAGGGGGCGAGAGGAGGGGTTTGGCTAGATGGACCAGTTTTTGAGGTGTCTCAAAAGTGGATCAGCACTGTGGAAGGCACACACATGTGAAGAAGACACTGTATTGCGATCGAGCGGGAGAGTTTTCGCGAGTGACTTTGCAATCACAGCTGCAGCAGGATGTGGCAGCAACTCACCCGCAGCAGGATGTGGCAGCAACTCACCCGCAGCAGGATGTGGCAGCAACTCACCCGCAGCAGGATGTGGCAGCAACTCACCTGCAGCAGCATGTGTAAATTCTTATTGGTTGAGTTGACTCAAGAGCACCTGCAGAGGCATGCGGCCTCAACGCACCTGCAGAGGCATGTGGCCTCAACGCACCTGCAGCAACATGATTTTTGAGACGTCTCAAAAATCACCTGCAGCAATGCTCTGTTGATCCGATCCAAAGCCCACCTGTAGCAGTCTATGACCAAATACATCCCCAATTAAAAGAGCGTGTGAGATGACTTTTGAGCTAACTCAACAGTCATCAAGCTGCAAGATGTGTCGACTCAACTTAAAGCCCACCTGCAGCAGCATGTGACCAAAGACATCGCCCACTGAGAGAGCCTGTGAGGATCGGCAGTCATCCAGAAATTGATCAAAGGTGACGCAGCAGTCGCGAGGAGTGGGAGAGGAGGACGGGGCATGGAGTGCGGGAGAGTGGGGCATCTGACTCGAGGATGTGTGGTGGGGTGCGGTGGAGAGGCGGTTGCAGATGTCAGTGATGGCCCGAGTGAGATGAGCGTAGTGGCGGCGCGTGTGAGCGATGCACGTGGTGTGATGCACGTCAAAGCCGTCGTGCACTAATGTTTGGACGGACCTGGTGTCATGTATGCATGAAGTGAAGGGGCAGGGGGTATGAGGCACAAAGACAGGAGAGAACAGGTAACGATCCACATGAGAATTCTCAAAAGTGATTTCAAGATAGGAGAGAACGGGTATCGATCCACGTGGTGTGATGCACATCGAAGCCGCCGTGCACTTGTGTTTGGACGGATCTGGTAGTGTGGGGTGGTGCGGAAAGGTGATAAGACATGACGCCAGAGATACGAGAGAGTGGGTCGCGATGTACGTGGTGTGATGCACGTCAACGCCATTATGGAGTCAGTGTTTGAACGGACCTGGTGGTATGAGTAAAAGGAGGAGTGGAAGGGAAATGTAGAGGAAAGTAAGACAGGGAGTGTGGGCAAGGCATTTGATGAGATGGGGGGGGTGTGGTAAAAGATGGAAACTTGTTGAGATGCTGGAGTGGGCGAAGCTTTTGCGAAATCTAAAAAGACTACATAGCTTTTGTATAGACTAAGTCACCATGATGTGGTGAGAAATTTGTAGAGATGCTGGACTAGGAGACCCCGTAGCTTACAAAATTCTCAGAAGGAAACAAGAAACGTTGGTCGGGGTCCGGGGATACCAAAGGTGACATGACACACAAAGGGTGATGAAACGAGATGGAGAAAGAGACAACGTACGCCGTGCGCAGGCTCTCCGCTCCGTTGCTGGCGTCCAGATTGCCCTCCACCACGTAGATTGGGCGGCGAAGACCACAGTGCTGAGATGGGGAAAGAGAGAAGGGCCAAAGAGGTGCAAGAGGAAGAAGAGGAAACGTGTACTTATGAGCATGAGAAGGCTGCAATGCAGAGAGGAGGAAAGGGAAGGGGAAGGGAAGGACTGTGAGAGCGAGGTGAGGAAGGATGGGACGCCTGTTCGTCCCATTTACCACTTGCTCCCTACCTCTCCCTCTCTCAATCACTCCATCTCTTCCACCCTCACTCTGTCACTCTGTCTCACTCCCACTACACACTCACTGACTGTGGCTTCCACTAACCTTCTTTCTCAGCTTCTTATTGCTTTCAAGTCAACCCACCTTGATCCTCTGCTTCTGGTCCTTGGATCGCTTTGAATTGATTGACCCCCACAGTCATCCACCCACCCCTTGCGCTTCGCCACCCACTTTAAGCAGACCAGAGGGGCGGGCAGAGCAGGGGAAGCAATAGAGTGTAGTGGCTGGCTATTGAGAATTATCCAACACCAGCTAGACCCACCTTGATCCTCAGTTTCTGGTCCTTGAATCGCTTTGACTTGATTGACTGCCACAAGTCATCCACTCTCTTGCGCTCCGCTACCCACTCCAAGCAGAACAGAGTGCCGGGCAGAGCAGGCAGAGCGGAAGAGGCAGGGAGGGCTGATGGGGGATCAGCAGAGGAGGAGGATGGCGGGACGGACGAGGGTGGAGAGGAGGAGGAGGTGGAGGGGGGTGCGGCGGATGAGGTGGGAAGTGTGAGAGGTTGAGCCACCCAAAGGGCATCGCCCACAGGCAGTGCTGCCACCTGATGGTAGCACTCGGGAGCGGGGAAGGTGAGGAGGGGGCTTATGAGAAGTCTGGAAAGGCGTGGATGGGGAAGGGGGTGTGGTCGGAGGGGTGAAGGGCTGAGCCACCTAAAAGGCATCTCCCACAGGCAGTGCTGCGACCCGATGGTGATGGCCGCAGGCAGGCGCCACGAATGAAAGGGATGGCGCTTCTGAGAGCTCTCAGAAAAGGGCGGGAGGGAGGTGCAGTGAATGAGGGTGGGGGTGAGGGGCTGAGGTGAGCCACCCAGAAGGCGTCGCACACAGGCAGAGATGCGACCTGGTGGTGATGACAGCAGGTGGGAGTGGGGTTGGGGGGGTTATGAATTAGACTGAGGAGGGCCAGAGTGTGCGCGAGGAGGGCAGGAATGGTTAGGGCGAGAGAGTAGGGTTTGAGGGTAGGGAGGGCGTGAGGGTAGGAAGGGCGTGAGGGTAGGAAGGGCGTGAGGGTAGAAAGGGCGTGAGGGTAGGAAGGGCGTGAGGGTAGGAAGGGGTGAGGTGGGAAGGGGTGAGGTGGGAAGGGGTGAGGTGGGAAGGGGTGAGGTGGGAAGGGGTGAGGTGGGAAGGGGTGAGGTGGGATGGGGTGAGGTGGGATGGGGTGAGGTGGGAAGGGGTGAGGTGGGAAGGGGTGAGGTGGAAAGGGGTGAGGTGGGAAGGGGTGAGGTGGGAAGGGGTGAGGAGTCAAATGCTGGGGAGCACCCCTTTAAGAATCCCCCGGAAGCATTGAATCAAGTGGGTGTTGTCACTCGGTTATGCGGGCAGGAGCGCAGCAGATATGAAGGGAGTAAAGAATTTACTCGGCCTGTTATGAATCTACACTAGCAAAGCGGCAAAGCCCACTAGCAGAGCAGAGCGGCGAGGCACAGAAGGAAGGCAAGGCAGCGAGGCAAGGTACCTGTGCCGGAAGCTTTTCCACTCTAGTGAGGAACTCCGTGAGCTGTGCTGCCCTGTGGGGCAGATGGAAGGTGCGGGGAGAGAGAAATGCAGTGAGCTGGACTGCCCGGTTCGCCAGATGAGCATGCAGAGCGGGAGTAAGGAGAAACGTAAGAGGATGGGAGTGGAAGAGCAGGGTGAAGTTGACAAGGAGGTGAGGAAAGGGAAAACTAGCTAACAATGATGAAGGACCGAAGGAGGGAGAAAGGAGGAATGAGAGACGTCAAATACGGCTGCATTGATCTACTCCATCGATTCTCGCCACTCTCACCCCGTCCTCACCCCTCCTCACCCCTCCTCACCCCTCCTCACCCCTTCTCCGAATTGAATACCAGACGCACCACTCAGCACGTGCCACAGAACTGCTGTCTATCCCCGTCCTGCCCTCACACCTCACACCCAACCCCCACCCCTCGCACACTTCCGCACCGCTTCCCACCCCTCCTCACCCCTTCTCCCGGCTGTCAATCAGCAGCACCACCCGGTACGCATGGCAGAAGCGCTGCCCCGCTGACAGGGGGGGCAGGCGGATGTCAGTTGTCTCCGCGAGTGAGAGGCAGGTGGGTGTCGATGATGGGGGGAACGTGGATAGCGATGGGCGGTAGGTGGGCAGAGGTGGGAGGAGGGCGAACTGTGAAGGAAAAAGGTGTGGTGCTGCAGAGGAATTGTGGCAGTCTTCTGGTCGGCCTGAGAGTTGTTGAGACGCAGGGGAGTGTTGCATGCAAGGGTGAAGATGAAAACAATGTGAGAGAAGGGAAGGAATGGCAAGACGGAGAAGCAAGGAGGAAGGGAAATCAGGGAGAGAGAGCTGGGAGAGAAGAATATGCATATAAACGCCATTCACTTGCATGCACGCACCAGTCAATGCACGCACCACTGAATGCACGCACCACTGAATGCACGCACCACTGAATGCACGCACCACTGAATGCATGCAGCGATGCCAGGAATGCCGAGGCTTCACTTCCCAGCGCTGCCTCTCCCTCTCCTGCTGCTGCTGCTCCTCCTCCAACTCTGCTACTAAGTAGTGCTGGTGCTTCTCCTACCGCTGCTGCTGCTACTGGTGCTTGTGCTCTTCTCTTCCTTGCAGCTGCCGCACTCACTATTGCTTCTGCTGCTGCTACTGCGGCTCTGGCTGCTACAGTCGCGCCACCATCGGCAGCACTGCTTGCTTGCCGCTTTCGACCCCTCCCCCCTCTCCCACCCCTTGTGACTCCTGCCTCCTGCCTCCTGGTGTTGGGTCTATCTTCTTGCTCCTCTGCTGTCTGTGTGCAATGCACGTACACATGAGTCAAGGGGTTGAAAGAAATGGAGAAGAGAGTGGGGGGCATGGGCAACGAGTCGAGTTCCGACACCTTTTGTTCCGACACGGCTCGACTGTAAGCCGAGCGAACTCGACTTTACTAACTTGGCGAGTCGGCGACTCGACGCCGTCCCCCACCTCAAGTTCCTGAGGCACTTCAAAGAGATGACTTGTTGATTAACCTGCAGCGACAGCCAGCCAACTTGGGGGCGTCCGACTTGACTCGTTACCTGTACAATTTGTATTGACTCGTATCAATGCAAGTAGATTGCATCGAAATGCGTTTCAAGCCACGGATTCTGTGGGAAGTGGTTTGGGACAGGTCAAATTTGTCTGACAAAATGTGATGGTTCTCAAGCAAAAGCTCGGCATTTTCGATTCCGGGTTCCACAAGTTCCATTGGCTAAGACCAAATCCTCGAAGAACTTCTAATTCTCTCTTGCGATCAATTTCCCAAGGAATCACCTTGTTTGTACCAGAGGCAGTTTGGTTGCTTGTACAGATGTGAGAGCAACTTTGGTGGTAGTTGGCTACCATAAGTGAAGTGATTGTGCAAAGAAATGGAAGGAGGCAGGAATGAGGAAGGGAGGGGCACGCAGAGCCACAAGGGTGGAGTAGGGAGTGGGAGAAAGCAGGCATGGGCCATGAGGAAGGGGATGCAGGAGGAGGGAGGGGAGGGAGGAATTGAATGCATATTGAGGAGGAAACGGGGGAAAGTGACCGAGGTTCACCTGGTGAGCGGGTGGATTCAATGGAGGCATAGCTGCTGGTGGAGGGGCGGATGGCAGAGCGGTGGTGGAGGGTGGCAGAGCGGTAGAGGATGGTGGAGCATCTGAGGGCTGCACGAGAGAGTCTGGGGGTGAGAGAGATGGCAGTTGGGCACGGAAGGAAGGCCAGGAGGTAGAGGCAGGCAGGGAGGAAGGCAGTGGTTGATGGTGTGGATAGCGGGATTGAGTGGCATGTGTGGCGTGGCATGGGGGTGAGGTGGAGAGAGTAGAGGTAAAACAAGGGATTTCGAGGGCGAGTGAATGCAACGCATCAAGCATGGGGCATGGGGTAACGTATGGGCACGGGGTACCGTATGGGCATGGGGTATGGGCATGGGATATGGGCATGGGGTATGGGCATGGGGTATGCGCATGGGGTATGGGCATGGTGTATAGGATGGGGAATGGCAATGGGGTATGGGCATGGGGTTTGGGGCATGCATCATTGGGTATGCATCATGGGGCATGCATGTCTCTGCTGCCCTCTCTCCTGCCCCTCTCACCCTTCGCCCCACTCATCTCTCTGCCTACTCACCCCTCTCCCACTCACTCCTCTCCTACTCGCCCCTCTCCCACTCACCCCTCTCCCACTCACCCCTCTCCCACTCACCCCTCTCCCACTCACCCCTCTCCCACTCTCCCCTCTCCCCCACGCACCTGTCTGCAGCCCTGCTCGCTCCATGCACATCTGAGCTGCTGCCACCCCGGCCGGTGTGAGGGAGTAGCTGAGAGATAAGCAGCACAGGGGGCGCAGAGAGAGGTGAGGGGAAGGGATGTGTAGTGAGGGGAAGGTGGGTAATGGGGGTTTTAGGAGGGTAGTGGGCGGGGATTCAGGCGCAAAAACCAGCAGAGCAGCACGGGGAAGCATGGGGGCCCCTAGGGCTGCATCGGGCGGCATGTGGGCAGCATGGGGACAGCATGGGGGCAGCATGGGGGCAGCATGGGGGCAGCATGGGGTGGCATGAGGGCAGGAAGTGATGAAGCACATGACCAAAGCAGCGCTCTTACAGAGCAGGGCGGCGGCAGCAGCACTCTCACAGCAGCGCACACACCGGCGGCGCTGCCAGTCAACCAGCGCATGCTGCCAGTCAACCAGCGCATGCTGCCAGTCAACCAGCGCATGCTGCCAGTCAACCAGCGCATACTGCCAGTCAACCAGCGCATGCTGCCAGTCCACCAGCGCATGCTGCCAGTCAACCAGCGCATGCTGCCAGTCAACCAGCGCATGCTGCCAGTCAACCAGCGCATGCTGCCAGTCAACCAGCGCATGCTGCCAGTCAACCAGCGCATGCTGCCAGTCCACCAGCGCATGCTGCCAGTCAACCAGCGCATGCTGCCAGTCAACCAGCGCATGCTGCCAGTCAACCAGCGCATGCTGCCAGTCCACCAGCGCATGCTGCCAGTCCACCAGCGCATACTGCCAGTCCACCAGCGCATGCTGCCAGTCAACCAGCGCATGCTGCCAGTCCACCAGCGCATGCTGCCAGTCCACAAGCGCATGCTGCCAGTCAACCAGCGCATGCTGCCAGTCCACCAGCGCATGCTGCCAGTCCACCAGCGCATGCTGCCTGAGCATGGGGAGTGCACTCCAGCCGCAGTACAAGTTGAGTGACGCACTAGCGGACACATAGGGATGCGCGTGTCCAATGCAACGCTCTTACAGGGCAGCGCGGGCAGCACCCAACACACTCACAGGGAGGGGCGGCCTTTCCGCCAGTCCACGAGCGCATGCTGCCTGAGTGTGGTGAGAGCGCTCCAGCCGCAGTAGTAGTTGTGCCTCACGTGGGCGAAGGACTGGCACGGCACACCCCGCCGCGGAATAGTTGGGCTTTGGGGCACACGGGGAGAGAGGAGGGGCGAAGGAGGAGAGGTGAGAGAGAGGGCGAGAGAGAGGGGTGAACGAGAGGGGTGAGCGAGACGGGTGAGCGAGAGGGGCAAGAGAGATGGGCGAGAGGGAGAGGCGAGGAAGGAGGGGCGATAGAGAAGAGAGAGGTGAGGAGAGGGAGACAGAAGCTACCTTTCGCCGTGATACCATGATGAGCCACGTCATGACTCGTGCGAGACCATGATAACCTGTAATGTCGCCCGAACGCTAGCAACTAATACCTTAAGTATGTCTTGACTCGCTATGTCGTTGACTCTCTGCCATCACGTAATTAGTTCCACTGATACTACAAAAAAGCCAATATGCAGGTTCTTCATACCACACACATGCCACGTGGCAGAAATTACGTGCCATGCGGCAAATACTACATGCCACATGGCAGATACCTCATGCCACGTGGCAAGTACTTCCTTAACGAACGCCATAAGCCATAGCTTGCGGCACCGTTCTCCTTACAGCCGTGACAGCAGGCTCGGCCCTCGTTGCCCTTCCACCGTCCACCTTCTCAAGGGCCGAGCAACGGCAAAATCGTGCAAGCTCATGTGTCCCTTGCCTTATAACTCATCCCATGCCCGTGCGGCTCTCTCTCACACGACCGCATGACTCCCCTGCATGCCCCCCTCTCACCACGTATCCTCTTTCTCTCTGCATTTCCCGCCCTGCATGCAGCCCGCTCTCACCACATATACGCACTCTGCATTTCCCGCCCTGCATGCCCCCTGCTCTCACCGCAAGCCCAATTCCCACCCTCCCACCGCGCTTGCACCCCACCCCTCCCTCGCCCTTCTCTCGCCGCATGTTGGTGGTGTTTGTAAGCCCGCTCACTTCCACTGCTGCCCCCACCTGCTCCTTGCCCATGCCTCCCCCTCTCTCACAGCATCGCCCCGCCCTTATGTCACCAAACAAACATCCCCACTGCTCTCGCCACACACCCCCCTCCGCTCACCGCATGTTGGTGTCTGTCAGACCACTCCCCTCCACTGCTGCCACCAGCTGCTCCTTGCTCATGCTGCCCTGCCCCTCCTGCTGCTGCGCCCTGCCCATTCCAAAGAGGGACAGCAGTGGAGAAGGGAGGGGAAAGGAACCCTTGGGTTTTCGGGGCATTGGATTCTCACCAATGTTTGCGTTACTCAAGCAGACATTCTCACTTCCGCTTCGTCCACACCTGTTTGCTTTGCACTGATGCTTCTCCCTAATGCGGAACGCTGGGGGCGCCCCTTCGCCCCAAGTTACGGGGCCATCTTGCCGAGTTCCTTAGAGAGAGTTGTCTCGCGCCCCTAGGTATTTTCTACCTACCCACCTGTGTCGGTTTCGGGTACAAGTGCCCACTTGCCTTGCTTCTCTTGGCAAAAACCATAAGGTTTGTGCCAGTATTGGCGTAAGAGCTTTCCTCTACAAGGAGACATGCGAACAGGAGCAGTGGCGCCTGAGTGGATAATGTTGAGGCAGCTGCGGGCTGCCGGCAATGAGGCAAGATGAACACCTGAGGCGGCACCTGAGGAGACACCTGAGAGCCTGAGGGCTGAGAAGGCAGGCAAATCTGAAACGGCATCTGAGAAGGCACTGGAGGCACCTGAAACAGTATCTGAGGAGCACCTGAGGAGGCATATCAGCAGCGCGTATGCTGCGGTTCCCTTCCGCGGCAGGTACAGCCCGCCACGCCTTCCCCTCGCCTCGCCCTCCGCCCCTGTCGCCGCCCCGCCATCCTCCTCCGCCCTTCCGCTACTCGCCGAAACCCCTCCGTCCGCCCTGTCCTCCCTCGTCGCCATCCCCTCGCGTTCCTCTCTAACGATTCTCGCAGCTCACTCACGAATCTAACTCCCAATCGCTCGAGCCGACACCCCTCGTCGCTCTCACTTGCTGTCGGCCATCCTGCCTTGCGTTGCTGTGTGATTCACCTGCATGCGGTTCTCTCACCCAGCGCGAAACTTCAGTGAATTCGCTTTCCAACGCTGCTACTAATTCGCGATGAGTGGCCCATGTCGTCGCATATGTCGTCGCATGTGCCGTCGCATATGTCATCAACTGTACCGTCGCATATGTCGTCGCACGTGCCGTCAGCTATGCCGTCGTGAATCTCCTTGGGTCAGCGCGGGCCTGGTTGCGCTCTCAAACACCAGTCACAAGTAGCAGCTCGAATCCGCAATAAGAGTGTTTCTCTTACGGGTGCAATGAATCTAAATAGCGAGAATTGCACTAAGGTGTCAAACGAGTACAAAATGTGAGCGAAGGCATGAGCGAACATTTATACGCGAAACATGCAAACGGTAACGCGGTGCGTGCAAGCTAGATAGTGCTATGCTGGAAGCGAGGTTCGGGCTAGTCCCGAAGCGTAGGCCGATACGGCCAGGCCAGCAGTGCGAGGTTTGGTGAAACAGTGCGCGCGAAGTCGGCGAAGCCCTGTTAGCAGTAACGAGCGAACAACGGCTGCTGCTGTACGCGATGTTGCAGGGCGCGCTAAGGAATATCGAGAAAATTCCTTACACTACCCCCCCCCCCCCCCCCCCCCCCCCCCCCCCTCAAGAAACCCCCTCCGCTACGCGAGTGCGTGCATATCGCTGAAGCCCCGGCTCCTCACGTACACTTGCAGGGCAGGGTGGTTTTCGATGTTGGCCAGGGGCACCCAGCTATCTTCAGTTGGCATGCGGTCCTTCCAGCGAACGAGGAATTCAATCCTCTTGATTCCCGTGGGGTGTCGAATCCGATGGCTCATGATTTTTTCGGGCTCGATGGTCGGCTCCGATGCAGGGTGAGTCATGGATGGCGGGTGGTGACGAGGCAGTTGGCTTGTGGTTGGGATGTATGGGCGAAGCAGGCTGACGTGGAACGAAGGGCTGACGTACCAGTCCGTTGGCAACAGTAGGTGAGCTGTCACTAGGGTAATCATGTGGCTGATTTGGAATGGTCCACAGTAGCGGGGTCGCAATTTCGGTACGACGGACAGTCTTAGGTTCTATGTGTCGAGCAATACGTAGTCTCCTGACTGGTACGTGACTTGGCGGCGGTGGCGGTCAGCGTTGCGCTTAGCGATGACATTGGCTTTTTTAATTGCTTCTGCGGCTCTGGTGCGGGCAGCTTGCAAAATTTCGGCGAATTGTTGTGCGCGTGGCGTTGGGTTATCTGGACTCGGCGTCATGGGCACTGTAGGGTTTTGCCCGTAGTTCAGGTAGAAAGGGGACTGCTGCGTCGTCGCTGACGTGGCGTTGTTATACGCAAACTCGATCAGGGGCAGCTGCTATTCCCAAGTGGTCGGGTCGTCGCACGTGGCACGAATCAAATGCTCCATCGTCTGATTCGTCTGCTCCGTTTGACCGTCGGTCTCGGGGTTGTCGAAATATGTTATTCATATTTATATAATTGTCTGTAGTGTTAGTGTAGTTATGTTTCCCGTTTGGTGGTGCACCTCATTACCCTAGTTCTTGCCTATATCTTTGTACCTTTGCTCTTTATTGAAACCCTTCTTCACTCTCGACTTTTCAACACTCTCGATACTCAATTCACTCGAACTACTAGCTATGGCTCCTTAGCCTTGCTAGATTTTTCACATGATATCAGAGTGACCAAGATCCTGACCCGTGGGCCCACCCTAAAGCTTCCGCTGCTACTCTGTGTTCGGCACGCCCCGTGGCGTGCCCCTTATCCTTTTTTCTTAGCGGCCCCGTTGCCGCCCTTTCTGGCCCCTCGCGGCCCCTTCGCGGCCCTCCCGCCGCCCTTCACTGCGGCCCCGTCGCCCTTCGCGTCGGCCCCGCCGCCCTTCGCTGCGGCCCCGCCGCCCTTCACTGCGGCCCCGTCGCCCTTCGCTGCGGCCCCGCCGCCCTCCGCTGCGGCCCCGTCGTCGCCCTCACCTGCGGCCCGTCGCCGCCCTCATCTGCGGCCCCGTCGCCGCCCTCACCTGCGGCTCGTCGCCGCCCTCACCTGTGGCTCATTGCCGCCCTCACCTGCGGCCCCGACGCCGCCCTCAGCTTCGGCCCCGTCGCCACCCTCACTTGCGGCCCGTCGCCGCCCTCGATTGCGGCCCCGCCGCCCTCACCTGCGGCCCCGTCGCCTACCTATGGCCCCACCCACTTGATGCCCCGACCCCGCCCCGGCCATGCCTCGTCGCCAGCTGCAGCACACCGGGGGCACGTGCACCGCCCCCCCCCCCTTTTCCCGTCACCTGTCGAGGCGACCTGAGGGGGCCGCGTGGAAGGGGGGGGCAGGCGTCGCCCCCTCTGCCGCCTGCTTTGGCGCCCGGGGAGGCCGTGCGTCGCCCCCCCCCCCCCCCCCCTCCCCTCTCCTCCTCCTTTTGCTCCCTCTGCTGCAGCTGCCGCTAGGGGGGAGGGTGTGAGGGTGTGGGGGAGCCCGGGGAGGGATTGGGGGTGGCGGGTGTGGGGGTGATGGGTGATGTGTGGTCTCCCCTTCCCATCCTCCTCCGTTCGCCCCCCTTCTGCTGCTCCTGCAGCAGTGTGGGGGGGAGGGGGAGGGGGAGGGTGAGGGGATGTAGGGGGTGACCAACCAGAGCCTACCACCTCCTCTCCTCTCTCTCCCTCTCTCTCTCCTCTCTCCCTTCTGTTCTCTGTTTTTTGCACTGGTTGTCACTGCTCCTGCCTACTGCTGCTACTTCAGCTGCACTCTGCATGGTGTACCCTCTTTAGGGGGCGTTACTACACTCACACCTGCAAACAATTATGGGGGTGTGTCGAGATATGTTATTCATATTTATATAATTGTCTGTAGTGTTAGTGTAGTTATGTTTCCCGTTTGGTGGTGCACCTCATTACCCTAATTCTTGCCTATATCTTTGTACCTTTGCTCTTTATTGAAACCCTTCTTCACTCTCGACTTTTCAACACTCTCGATACTCAATTCACTCGAACTACTAGCTATGGCTCCTTAGCCTTGCTAGATTTTTCACAGGGGTGGTACGACGAGCTGAACTGTAGCCTTGTCCCGAACTGCTCCCAGAGGTTCTTCCAGAAGTTGCTGGTGAACTTCGTGTCGCGGTCGCTGATTATCGCGGCTGGTATCCCGTGCAGTCGAACGACGGCTGCGATGAACAGGCGAGCGGTTTCTTCGGCTGAGATCGATTTCTTGCACGCAGCGAAGTGTGCCATCTTCGTCAACCTCTCAACGACGACCATAACTGCGTCGTTACCCCCGGGGTTCGAAGGTAACCCCGTGACGAAATCCATGGTAACCTGCTGCCAGGCGCGCTCAGGCGGTGGGATCGGCTGCAACTGACCCGCCTTTCTTTTTCGCGAGCTCTTCATCACCTGACACGTAGGACTCGAGCCCACGTGGTTCTGTACGTCGGTCAACAGCTCCGGCCAGAAGTAATCCCGCTGCAGTTGCTGTCGCGTTTCTTCTACCCCGAAATGTCCTAAGGTAATCTCGTCGTGTGCCTCCTGCAGTAACAATTCCCTCAGTAGTGAGTACGCGGGTACCCAGATGCGGTTGGTGCCTGTTTTTACGCAATAGACCCATTTGGCCTCTGCCAGTTGCTGTGAATTTCCGGTCGTGAAAAATGGGTCGGTACTGTATCCGTGGGTGAATAGGCCTGTTAGAAGTGGGTTGGTTTGGGCGAGTAGAATGGCATGGAGTTGGGCGGTGGGGCGTGTGAGTGCGTCGGCGATGTTGGATGCGCCTTTTTTGTACGTGACCGTGCAGTGGAAGTTGGACTCCAGATAGTCCAACCAGCGGATCTGTCGTGGGTTAAGATTCGGTTGGGCGCGGAGGTACTGTAGGGATTGGTGGTCTGTCCGTACTGTAACGTCGGCTCCCGTGAGGTAACATCGCCACACTTTGAACGCGTGCACGATCGCCAGCATTTCGCGGTCGTGTATCGGATAGTTGCGTTCGGGCGGGTGAAGCTTGCGGGACTCATACGCGATTGGCTGAAGGTCGTTCCCAAAGTCCTGCAATAGTACTGCTCCCACAGCAATGTCGCTAGTGTCGGTGACGAGTTCAAACGGACGGTGCGGATCTGCGATGTGGAGTACGGGGGGTGAGCACAAAATAGTTTTGAGGGCCGAGAAGGCAGCCTCCTGTTTCTCCCCCCACGTGTACTCAACCCCCTTTCTCAGCAGGTCGGTCAACGGGGCAGTCAGCTTCGCCATGTCGGGGACGAACCGGCGCACGTAGTTGACGAACCCCAAAAAACTCTGCAACTCGGTCAAGTTGGTTGGCGCGTGCCATGCTTGAATCGTCGCGATTTTTTTCAGGTCTATTTCCACTCCTGCAGCTGAAATAATGTGTCCCAAAAACTCCTGTCGGTCCTTTAAAAACTCACACTGAGACGCTTTTGTCAGTAGGCGGTTCTCACTCAGTATCTTAAAAACTGCTTCGATGTCCTGTAAGTGTTGTGCTCTGTCAGGGCTGTAAATCAGCTTGTCGTCCCGGTATACGATGACGCATTTATCTAAAAGCGGGCAGAAGGCTTCATTCATGGTCATTTGAAAAATGGCGGGAGCGTTGGTCAGTCCGAAGGGCATGACGGTGTATTGGAAGGATCCATAGCGTATTCGGAAGGCTGTCTTAGGGCAGTCGGGTGGGTTGATGCGAATCTAGTGATAGCCTCCTCGAAGGTCGATTTTCGAGAAACCCCGGGCTGTGAGTAGTTGGTCAATCGGTTCGTCGGCTCGCGGGATGGGGTAACGGGATTTGATGGTAACCCTATTCAGTGCTCTATAGTCTATGCACATGCAAAAACCCCCATCCTTTTTCGGTGTGAACAGTATCAGTGCTGCGAAGGGTGACGAACTAGGGTGAATGAAGTCCTTCTCGAGCAGGCAATCCAGCTGCTTCCTCAGTTCGTCCAGTTCGGGATGGGTCAGTCGAAACTGTCGCTGTACTATCGGCTGTGCCCCCGGTTCTAGTTCTATCCTGTGGTCGTGCGGTCGCTAAGGTGGCAGTCCCGTCGGCAGGTCGTCCGGGAAGATGTCACTGTACTGCTTCAATAGTGCTGCCAGATCACTCGGTACGTCGGCTAGCAGTTTCTGTAAATCCCCTCCTGTGTCTGCTGCCTCGGCTTCCCGAATGTCAACCGCGCACACGTCAGCCCCTATCGCTACGGCGCGTTTCATCGTGATCACGTTGAGACGCACCGACGAAGACTCAGGCGAGCCCCAGCGAGGTAAGGCGATGTTGTTACCGTTCACTCGCACAGCGAAGTCACCCGTCGTCCAGTCGATTCGCGGATTGTGTTGTCGCAACCAATCACGCCCGAGTAAAATATCGGTTCCGTCGAGGGTCGTTGCGAGCATTTCCTGGCTAAACGTGAAGTTACCCCCGCATCGAATCCGAACTCGGTCCACCCGTTCCCGTATCGCCAGCGGCGTGCCGTCGACCAGCCTTGCGTCGATCTCAGGTAAGCATCTGTCCAGTGGCAGTCGCAGTTTTTGTGCTGTGGCAGTGTTGATGAGGTTGTGGCTGGCCCCTCCGTCCACGAAGATTTTAACTAAGTCCGTCCCGATTCTCCCACTAAGCAGTATAGTGTTGTCTACCGTAGTACCCTCCTTATTCGGCCGGGTGTGGTCGATTGCGTGAACCGGCACAAGCAATTGGTGAGGGTCGGTTGGGTCGGGCGAGCGGCGTGACCTGTCAGTAGAGGGCCCATCTGTTACTGACTCCCAGCGTTTCCCTGCTGCTTGGTCTGTTTCCGCTGCTCGGCTTCCCCCTTTCACTTAGCATTTTCCGGGCATTCGCTCTTGCGGTGTCCCAGCCGATTGCACGCAAAGCAGCGCTCTTTGAACGGTGCGGCAGCGGCATTTGCAGTGACGGCACGTATCGTAGCGCCCTCGTTCGTCCCACGAGGCCGATGTCCCCAATTGCTGCTTCCGTAGGACCCCGGTCTCGGTCGGCGGAAGAAGTCGAGTTTCTCTGCCATGGCGAGGATTTCTTGAAAATCGGTGACGCCGCGAAGCTGGATTTCCTGAGCGATGTCCTGCTTCAGGCCGCCGATGTAGCGGTCGATGCGCTCGCTCTCATGCATGTATCCCACCTGCTCGCATAGTGCCAGAAATCCGCTCGTGTAGTCTTGGACGGAACCGAGTTGGCGCCAAGTGCGGAGCTTCTATCACGCCGCGATCGAAGCCGCAATTGGCTCGAAACGAGCGCGCAAACCTGCGCACCATGCGTCCCACGTGCGATACTGGGGCACCTCCACGAAATACGACGGCGCCCAGGGTCCAGTTTGTCCTTCCCGTGTCGGTAGAGTCGCGTAGTCCACCGGCTTCGTAACGATGACATGCCACCAGTCCATGGCGGGTATTCGCAGCAACAACACGGCGTAGCGGATTTTCGCCGTATCCTCCGAGACGTAGTTGGCGTAAAAAAAAACGTTCAACGTGAAGAGCCATGCCTGAATGGTAGGACCACCCCGCTGACTTGGATCGAAACATGGCGGACGCTGCGACTTCAGCGGCATCGGCGACGGTAGGGTTGATTCGCCGGCCGGCACCGAAATGGTGACTCGAGGCTGATTCCCGACCGCATTCGTCGCGTCGGGGTGTGTCGTGCCATGGTCGTCGAATTCGTCATGGCGGACGACGCCATCACTTGCGGCGCTCGCGGGCTGCCCCACACTTCCGTGTTGTGATGCCTGTGGTGCGGGCTGAATCGGAGTGCCAGGTGCTTGGGATTATGCTCGTGCGAGGTCATTTTGCAAGGAGGTACGTTCCGCCGTTAATGCCGCGATTTCCTCGGAGCTTTCGTGCAGTTGTCGTAGCAGCTCGTCCAGGCGCGCCTGCGTAAGGCTAGTAACGTCAATGCGTTCAGCCATTCCGAAGGGCGTCGGCTCGTCTTAGTCTAGGCGCAGTCGTGGCTGCACGCGTTTACGAGAGAGCACAAGGACAGCGGCTCCTAGGTGCTAAGGTGCGTGAGTCCCTTCGAGTGAAAAATCAAAAGTTGACTTTCTGGGGTGCGGAGATGCGCGGTCCGAAAGAAAGAGGCTCTGATACCAAGTTTTACGGATGCAATGAATCGAAGTAGCGAGAATTGCACTAAGCAGGCCCTCAGATATCAACGTAAAACACGCTGATTAGGCTGATTTTGTAGCTGTTGTGAAAAACTGAACGAGAATGAATCAACTATGAACGAAGTGAGTACAAATATGAAACCCTAATTGGGTTGTACCCCCTATGGGATACCCCACTATAGCCTACACAAATAAGTAAGCTATAATGTTCTGACACACC